AAGTTATCAGTGGCTGTAAATCCCGCGTTGTTTTTTATATCTCGTTTGATGTTCGTAATAATAGATGTTAGGTTAGTAGCGTTATGATGATGTTATAATAAGTGGTTCTTGATATTGTCCCTATTTTTAAGCAACGTTAATAGTTTGAAGTATTTTCGTGTTTCTAACCGGAATACTTTTTGTTTGTGCAAAAAGATAATACGGAGATAATGTTATGCATTGTGCCTGTGTGAGTGCCTAGTGATCTCAAATGGCGGGCTCGAGAGAAGCTTTTAAACCGGCAATTGTGTTTTTTAGCCAAGAGGCTAAAAAGCCTATATTAAGAGTGGCTAAAGAGCCACTTATTGAGAGCCAAGTGGTAACCTGAATTATTAATTCGAACGGCGGTTTCGTATGGATCACAAATGTGACATCCATAAGGTGGCCATGTGGAGCGTCCATGAGGTGCCCTTACGGAGCGTCCATGAGGTGCCCTTATGGAGCGTCCATGAGGTGCCCTTATGGAGCGTCCATGAGGCGCCCTTACGGAGCGTCCATGAGGTGCCCTTACGGAGCGTCCATGAGGCGCCCTTACGGAGCGTCCATGAGGTGTCCATGAGGTGCCCTTACGGAGCGTCCATGAGGTGGCCATATGGAGGGTCCATGAGGTGCCCTTACGGAGCGTCCATGAGGTGGCCATATGGAGGGTCCATGAGGTGCCCTTATGGAGCGTCCATGAGGTGCCCATATGGCGAGTATGGCGGTGGCCTAGAGGCTGCATCGGATTGCCAGATTTTGGATTACTTCAATTGCCAGGGGATCTAATATCCAAAATAATACTCACCGTTATCAGAAACAATGTTTCCAGATTCTTACCTGCGAAAGAAAGTTTATTATTTATCATAATAAATATCAGTGAACTCTCAAGAATATGAAATCAGCAAATCGAAGCCGTTAAGTTCTGTCTAAATCAAAATCCTTTGCTGATATTTACGCAGGCTTTGAATGAGCTCAATAATCGTTGCTGGCGTATTGGTAATTTTTTCTTATCATTTCTGTGTAAATTTTGTCCGAAATTGCGTTATTGCGGAAGACTTTAGTTTATTTTTATCATCTGCGGTTAATTTTCCCTGACCGTAGGGCGATTTATTTCAACGTGCACCTTGTTGTAAAATCGATGTCAGTAATTACTTTTTATAGTTAATTTTTCAAAGGTAATTTTCATTTTCATTAAAAATTGAAGCTGTGAAAGGCCCTGTTCTGCCTTCCAACCTGTTATTTCTTTTCATTGATGATGTTCTCTTCATATATTCACATACATGCAGATACGCTATTGATGCTTTCACTTTCACATTCAAAGTCTTGAATATCAGCGATCGTTCTCACTGCCAATTTCTGCGAATATGGTTAACGTAACCGTTACATATGACATACCGGTATATTGATTATATTTATTTAACTGTATTTCAATGTTCGAGTGAAACAGTTCCTTACCTACCAAATAACACGTCTACTTTTTTTATTTTCCCTCTCATGTTCTACTCGCGTAGGGCAAAATTTTCTATTTGCTCCCACTTATTCAAGGACTTCCTTGTGATTTATTTATCCTGTGCCTAGGTTAGTTCATTTATTGAATTTACTTAGCTAGGCCTATCAGTAACTTATCTCCGTTTGTTAGCACGTTAAACTAACTTATTTATTATGCTTCTGATTATTATTTTTCTTGTATTATTGTATACACGCGTTGTGTGTGGGAATTTCTGGGCTGAATGTTAATTTTTTCAGAAAAATTTATTCAACAAACTTCATTTAAATTTGTTTAGATTTTCTTTCGCATTAGTTTATATGCCGAGGAATTACCAACCGGAACAATTAATTTTTAAGTTATCACATTCAATTTTTCTTCTGTTCACGTTTGCATTTCTAGCGGCGTTTCCTCTGAAAATTCTTGCGATATTCTTGTATTTTATTAATAAAATGTCGTAATATCTTTTATTCCTAGATACTAGGAAGCTAGATCAGTGACTGTTTACATTAAAGTGATAATGTCGCATGAAATTCGCTGCCTCTGATGTTTTTTGTGGGATTCGCTGCACAGAAAAATTTAGGGGTCTAAATGTCCAAATATTGATACACTTCCTGGCGGTAGCTATGATACGCCCTTTTGCCTGATCAAACTGAGTCAAGTTAACTCACAAGGCTAAACTGAGTCAAGTTGACTCACAAGGCCAAAAAGGCATCGCTTTCTTAGAATGGGAGTTTATGTAAGTAAATTATCGTGAGTGAAATCATCCTTTGATATTGATATGAAATATATTTTGTTTCAAGCTTTTTATCTTTCCTTATCCTGAAAATTTGTTTCATATTTTTTTACTAATATATAACTGTTCGACGTGTAACTTGCGTGTGTTACTTGAGTGTGTTACTTGCTCGTGTTACTTGCGTGTGTAACTTGCGCGTGTTGCTAGCGCGTGTCACTTGCTCGTGTTACTTGCGTGTGTTACTTGCGTGTGTTACTTGCGTGTTACTTGCGTGTGTAACTTGCGCGTGTTGCTAGCGCGTGTCACTTGCTGTGTTACTTGCGTGTGTTACTTGCGCGTGTTACTTGCGTGTGTTACTTGCGTGTGTTTCTTGCGCGTGTTACTTGCGTGTGTTACTTGCGTGTGTTACTTGCGTGTGTTACTTGCATGTGTTACTTGCGTGTGTTACTAGCGCGTGTTACTTGCGTGTGTTACTTGCGCGTGTAACTTGCGTGTGTTACTTGCGCGTGTTACTTGCGTGTGTAACTTGCGTGTGTTACTTGCGTGTGTTCCTTGCGTGTGTTACTTGCGTGTGTTACTTGCGTGTGTAACTTGCGCGTGTTACTTGCGTGTGTTACTTGCGTGTGTTACTTTCGTTGTTTGCCATTTTTAAGTCTTTATTTAGATTATGTAAATGATGTATAGATCTTACCGGCCATTTGCTCTATAAACCAGCTGCTTGTCGTACAATGTCAACTGTCGGCCGTCGTGAACATCGCTTTACTGTACAGAATAATTGTGGGTCATCATTTTATTACTGAATATTCTTGCAAACTTCACATTTTTAACTGTTGGCCTTATATTAAGCGCGAAATATTCTGAGCGATGACAAATAACCACCAGTCACGTAATGTTGTCAATAATCGTCAAATATTGTGAATGGTGAGCAAATTTCATCCCCAGCCTTGAAAAGGCGTCAGGCCTGTTCATGCTTGGCCTTAGGTCGTGTTCCAACAGACGTTCATCAAAGCTTAGTTTTAGTTCACAGTTACCAAGTGAAGTTATCTTTGTTCGAAAATAAGATAATATCAATCATTTTCTTTTAATTAAACTGCTCGCCGCAACAGTCCTAATCTTGTTCAGATCCGGTAAAAGTGGCTTTCAGTGTTCCTTGAATCACATGTGTTAACTAACATTTTTGGCAGCAAACTGTTGGTCAGTGGAATCATTTGTTTGTCATACGCGCTCCTAGGGGGATTGTTCTGAGCGCCCCACCGCTGAGCTCGCTGTGTCGGACTGCAGGTCTCTTTTAAGGGGTTAAGTTTATTATGTAGGTAGGATAACTTATATTAGATTAATATGTAGATAGGATTCCTTAAATTAAATTATTATGTAGGTAGGATACCTTGCATGTCCCTTCTCTGTCTCTCTCGTGCGGGCGGCCGACGTCCCGTGTAAGTTACATCTTGTTCGAGTGTCTTAGTTTCTGTTGCTTTTCACCTGTCCCTCCTTGTCACTTCGTCTCTTTGAGATGCTAACGCTGCTTCTTTCGAGCCAGCTTCAGCGGGCTGGACATCTGAGACCTTCCGCCCCTTGTGGGTGATGAACAATTTTTGATTTGAGAGTCTTTCGATAACTGAGACCTTCCATCTCTTTGGGATGTTCATCTTGACTTCCGGTGCGAGAAAGGTAAATGGCTGAAGCGCTAGTAAACATTTGGCCACTAAACTAACTAACTTTTTTGTCATATATAATGTGAATTCGTAGCTTGTATGCTCCTCGGTTTACACGAGAATTCCATTCAGAACGGAACCAAGGTATGCCGTGTGTTTTTAGCGCATTTTCTCATTTATGGAAAAAATCCACTATTGTGCTCGCCATGTCCGTCTGTCTGTCCGTCCGTGACTTCAAGTTTTCGTCGACGAGAAAATGCGCTCTCTGTCACTCACTGCAGTGAGTACTGAGTTATATTTTTTTTACTTCTCTGGCTATTGACGTGTAACGTAACGCCGATTTCAATGGTTTCTCGATTTTTACCTGTTAATTCTCAGCATTAAGATTTAAAATGGGCAAATAAATATTATATTCCATTTTATAAGTCCTTATTCTATTTAAAAATGAAAATATTCGCAGTTTTAAAAGTAAGCTAGTGGATCGCTGAAATGTTATCCTCGCGCATAATTTGCAGTGAAAATGTTTGCCGTCGTCGTCGTCGGGGGGCGTGGCTTATATGCACAAGCAGCTGGCACCCGCACGGCGTGGCAACTGCGGATAGCCGACATATTTTTGCAAAGTATTCTTGGTCGATTCATGTCCGGAGAATTTGTTTCATCAACTTTTAATTTTGAACCCTAAATACATGTTTTTATTATTAAGTTTGCAGCTTTGAAGCTTTGTCCCAACGAACTTTCAGATGACAAGATGATGTAAGATTTTCGCTCACATCAGCGATGTATAACGTTTATTTATTGATATATAATGTTTATTTGAATTGTTGTTACATCTGCGCTTTTAGTACAAATCATTTTTTGGAAAGAGCAAGCAATTCTGTCTCTGCAGCTGACCGACGCGACAGGAACTGAACGTGTAATCCTAATACTGTAATACTTATTTTTTCATGCAAAATGTGGTAACATTTGTTTTAAGTGAACTAAAGACTTTATGTTTCGATCAATAAATTCCCAATTTTATTCATTTCAATTTTATATTACCTTGAGAGCTTATAAATTGACAACATATATCCTTTAATGCTTTATTTTTCAATTTTCTTCTCTCTTTTATCAGTGGTTTGTCAGAGGCCTTGTTGGAAAGCAACAATTTCGATTGATTACACAGATATTTTTTATCTGCATACTGTCATTTCCTAATCTTTTCAGGACTAGAAATTTTCTGGTATTTCTAGAGAAAACAGAAATTTCATGCTCTATTCTATAACTGCTGCTTATAAATGCATTGTCGACGAATTGCCTTTCCAGCTTCCATTACACAGTACATTTTCAATGAAATAAATATTTTTTGAGAACATTTATACACTGGTAAAAAAAACACGTCGGCATGTCGGAACCTGCCGCAACGAAGTCGAACGGTCGCAGCCGACACGTCCGTTCTAGGCAGACCGCCCCCCCTCGTATCGAACCCCCGCCCTCCCTGGGGGCGGCACCCCCTCCCACAGCCTCCCTGGGGGCGCCACCCCTTCCCACACCCTCCCTGGGGGCGCCACCCCCTCCCACACCCCCAATTGAATCCTCAACGTTACCCCCCCAACTGACACCCGACGTTTCGTGCCCACCGCTGGCACCTGTGAACTACGGAAATTGCAGTAAGGATAATGAATTAATATTTTTCCTGTTATGTTAGGATTTTTTAATAAATGTGAAATATTCCTTAATGGCTCGAAGGTCGTGGTAAAATGCATGAAGTATTCCGTTTCCTATGTGGCTGTCAATAATGAAAACGCGATTTCATCATCCCATACATCCGTGGGTAAACTAGCTTGCATGTAACCTCTTTTAAATAGTTTAACTTCTCTTTAATTCTCCAAAATTTTAGGAGACGTGGTTAACATTTCATCATTTCCATCATTTATACAAATTCTGACGCCATATATATGCTTCAAACTTATTCTATCTCAATTTAATGTTCTTGTTTAAGATAAAGTAATTTTTCTCATTTAAGGTATATTAATTCTTCATCATCATAATTAATATTAGTATAATTATTATTAATTGTATTTATTAAAATTAAATGCGATCGTGTCACCACATTTAGGTGTGAAGTTCAACACTACGAACATGCGGGTTCATCCCTCCGTCAACAGAGGCTTCCAGCCCCCGGCCGACCCCCACAACAGGTACTGGGGTTCAGTTAGCGCTTGCTGCAATTATTACTTTAATTTAATTGCTAATTCAATCTAATTGAAGTTGATGCCACATGCATTACTGGCCACAAGAGTGCCATCTTCTTCATTAATGACTATATTCACTTATCACAAGGCTAGTTGATGGCACATGCCATGTTAATTATATAAATGACATTATTCACTAATTATCACAAGTCGAGTGCCACACCGCACTTGCCACGTACAACATCTCACTTGCCACAAAAAACATTCCACTTACAACATGCCACATCCTACACTCCACATGCACGTATTTACCTACATTCCTCATACCTCATGCCACATCCCACATGCCACTTGCCACATCTCACGTCCCACATGCCACTTGCCACATCTCACGTCCCACATGCATCATGCCACATGCATCATGCCCCTTGCATCATGCCACACGCCACATGCCACACGCCACATGCCACATGCCACGGTGCCTGCAGGACGCCAGAGTGCGGAGGTCGGCGTGGCAGCGCAGACGCGTGGTCGAGCGTCTCGAGCGTCGCGGCGTCGCAGGAGTTCTGCGTCGACGTCGCGTCTTGCCTCTCCTCGTCCTTCTGCTCCGCGCCTCCTGCCGCCGTTGACGTAATTATTAGAATAGAAAAACATGCATTAAAAGTCCGTGCTGTGTCATTGAAGTCATAAAAAGCATAAAGTTCCTTGGACTTACAATTAAACACGGAGCTGAAAACAGGCATGAAAGAGTTCGTGCTGTGTTACTGAAGTCAAAACAAGCATAAAGTTCCTTGCACTTGGCATACATGGAGCTGAAAAACATGCACTAAGAATCCATGCTGTGTCATTGAACTAAAAACAAGCATAAAGTTCCCCGGGCTTGATAAACATGGAAATGAAAAACGTGCATGAAAATCCATGTTGTCATAATTGCTTCATAAAGCTCCGAAGAAGCATAAAGTTACTTGAACTTGACATACATGGAGTTACAGACATTAAAACTATATCCCTACTGGATGATTAAAGTGCAAATAGGTCTTTAAATTATATTTAAACTCGTATTGGGCTATATAATTTTGCAACGTTATTGTAGCGGTGGAGGTGCAGTTGTACGTATGTAAACCGAGAAGATGTAAATCAAAGTAATCCATGTGCACATGTACATACTTGTGCTATGATCTATAATTAAATAATTAGAGTTACCAACTAATATATATTTAATATTTTACTGAGTCCTTAAATTGAATCTGCACAAATGTGATGCCTCGAAAACATTTTTCAATGCGACCAAAATTTATGCTCTTGCCTTATGCCTTATGCTGTGGCAAGTGGTATTCACAAATTCTATTAAATTTTTCCCGCGATATGTATAGTTTATAGAAAAGTTTGAGTTACTGTTAACAATTGTGAGCTTCTTTGACAAGTAATGGAAGTCGAAATTTTTAACCGTGATTTCTTGTCCATCATGTCTTTAAAATGCTGAAGCTAAAAACAAAAACGTACCATACGTTGCAATATTCATATATTAATTTGTACGCAATCAAATTAATTAATATTTGATCTGAACTGTACTAGCGGATAAATGTTAGACAAGTAATGAATGAAGAATAATCTATATAAGTGAGAATTCTTTTAACTGTTTTTTAAAGATAACTTATAATAAAGTGGATAAAAAGTAAATAATATATTATTACGTTTTTCAATTATTTCGAACCTGCATGCCTTCGATGATGAAACTGTTTGCTTGTGAAAATGTGCAGAATTTTCGTAATATTTTCATAGCATTGAAATTATTGCATTATTTGCCATTTTATCAACTAAATATTTTGATAATTTTATTAATTTTCAAAATTTATTCAAAAACAAACAATGTATGATGGATGTGACAGGACGACAGACTCGCCTGTTACGTGCCTCCCTCCGCGCCCGTGGAGCTTCACATCACCAACCTCGACCAGAACATTGATGCTCGTGAGATGAAGAAGGTTCTGCTCACCTGCTTCAGGGAGCACATCATGGTAGGGAGAGTTCTGCTCACGTACTTCAGGGAGCACATCATGGTAGGGAGAGAGTTCTGCTCACATGCTTCAGGGAGCACATCATGGTAGGGAGAGTTCTGCCCACCTGCTTCAGGGAGCAAATCATGGTAGGGAGAGAGTTCTGCTCACATGCTTCAGGGAGCACATCATGGTAGGGAGAGTTCTGCTCACATGCTTTAGGGAGCACATCATGGTAGAGGGGTTCTTATTTTACTAATATGTTAGTGTAATAAGATGTGTGTGACCTGTCGTGATTAATTAGGTCTGTTATTGACCTCAATAAACTATGTTTTGATTTAGTTAAACGACCGTTTTAATTTACTTGAACTTCTTCTCCACTGTAGTACTTCAATTAAACTCTCCAGATTTGTTGCAATCGTTTATGGTGTAAACCTTCATCTGGGGGATTTCAGTTCAATACTGCCTATGTCTTAGATATTCTAAAGGTTCATCAATCAGGTAAAAAGATGTAAAGTGCACCGCAGTATCAGTCTCTACGATCTCAATGATATTCTTAAAGCCGAGTTCTCGCTTACTCTGACAAGTTTACCAAGATGACCTACTAGGGTTTTTCTGCTGCACTTACAAGGGTTTTTCTGCTGCACTTACAAGGGTTTTTCTGCTGCACTTACACGGGTTTTTCTGCTGCACTTACAAGAGTATTTATGCTGCACTTACGAGGGTTTTTTGCTGCACTTACGAGTTTTTTTGCTGCACTTACAAACATGATCGCATTTGATTCACTGGTTAATTTTAGTTATGCTGGGAATAATCGTCCTGAATGGCCCTATCCTATGTCATCTGACGTTGAAACAACCTTGATAAACGTTGTTGCAGCAAAATTAACTCGTAATTAACGTTGTATCAACGTTGTTTGTCCGGAGGGATGAAGCAACCTGTAATAAGCATGTTTATTGCTGCAGGTGCTACATGTTTCCATGCTGGTGCAGAGCGACGGTAACCTGGCTGCGTGTGTCCGAGTGCCCACGCCCCAGGACGCACAGTTTGCTATTTCGCAACTTCAGCGCAAGCGCATCGGGTCCAAACGAATTATTATCTCATATGCCAACCACAACCAACCGTCTCCTGAGATGAAAAGGTGATATTGATTGCTGCTGCCATGAACTTTTTTAATACCTAATTACATCTGCAAAATTGTCTTCATTGGTCGGATTAGCATCAGCCGATTGCAACTGGCTTGGTTGTTTGAACTCCTTTATAATAAATTGCGCCTATTCATTCTGAAATGAAATATACTATTTGAGATAAAACGTTATTTGTTTCGACTCGTTCCTCAATTATTATTATTTAGTATTTTATGACCATCGAAATTTCTTAGGGCTCAAAATTGTAAAAATTTGAAAGCCTAGGAGCTCTGAGAATTAATTTCACGAACAAATAATATTGATTTCTCTCTCTGCTCTGTCGTGATTTTTTATTAATTAACCGCAACACATTGAATTGCTTGTATTTAGAAGCTCTCTTCTGCTATCGAACCCCATACAAAGATTATTACAAAATGAGTTAGATTTCATTCATTAATTGAAACCAGTGTTTCAGCTCTTCCAGGTTAAGTTTACTTCTGGACCCCTTTAATCAAGGTATTATGTTCGCAGGTCGAATGTTGTGTCATTATTGCAAGAGATTCCTGGCAAGCGTCTGCCATTATTCAAATTTCGAGAGCTTTACGAGCGTCGTTACCACGAGACCATTGGGGTGTCAGAAATGTACATGATGAGGGACGTGGTAACTGTGTCAGACAACAGCACAGGTCGCATGGTTGCTCTTCAACCAAGATACCGACACGTTCCCGTGGCCCTTCCTCCTACGACCAGCCAATCAGAGTCAGATGGTGTGCCCAGGTTCTGTGAGAAGCACAGCTTAGGACCCGACACCTCGGTAGGATGGGCCGAGAGAGACAACACCACGTGTCTTCCGAATGTTACAACATCCCTTACAGTTCTAGCCGAAACGATCCCCAGACTCCTTCATGCCCATGATGGCGTCTTGCCCTTAGCAAGCCTGATGGAGTGCTACACTGCCGTCATCGGCCCCATTGACGAAGTAGCTGAAGGAGGAGTTCCTCTTGAACATTTGGTTTCATGCTTACCGATGGTCGCGATTCAGACGTGCAGTACAAATTGGTCCAAGTTCATTAAATTTTGTCAGAACAGAGCCCCTCAGGATGACATGGAGGACTTGTTACGGTTTGTGTGCCCTCCTTTGGTCGGACAACTTGCTTTATTGTCCCGTGAACTAGTAGATCTTCTGAAGACGTTCCCCAACACTCGCCTACCTTTTTCACGATTTATCCCAGCTTACCACCACCATTTCGGTCGGCAATGCCGAGTCGCCGATTACGGATACACCAAATTAGCTGAACTTTTCGATGCTTTGCCCAATGTCGTCCAGGTGCTGGGGGAAGGGCCCAAGAGAGTCATAACTCTCGCTCATCGCGCCCAAGTCAGGAGGTTTTCCTGCGATCTTTTACGCGTGTTGAAAGGCCAACCGTTCAAATGTATCACCATGGATCAATTCCCTGCAGCTTTTGAAAAAGTTATTGGCAAGCCATGGGCTGTGACTGACTATGGCGTCAACGATATCTTTGACATCCTCAGTGAGATCAATGAAACCACCATCACAGTATCTGATACTAATGGTGTTGTGACCATTGCTATACCTATTCGTGAACAGACCCCAGAGGAGGTTGAGATGACCATTCAGTTCGGAGCCGAAGTAATCGAATTACTGAGGCACTCGCCGCAATGTAAGATGCAGTTCACTAGGTTCATACCCGCGTACCATCACCACTTTGGACGTCAGTGTAAAGTAGCGGACTATGGCTGCACCAAACTCATCGAGCTTTTTGAGGCGATCCCTGACATTTTGGAGGTGAGGATTAGTAAAGCATATTGTTCGCCTCCAATACCTTGATGCATCAGCAGGTTCTATTGTTTGCCTCCTATTCCTTAATGCATCAGCAGGAAATATTGTTTGCAGTAGGCAATAGCTGCTCATTTTATATCTGCCGATATAATTAATGTATTAGTTAATGCACATAGTGGATCATCAAATTGCAAATTAAATAGAGATGCTTGAAACTCTTGCTTACCTTGCACGAACAAGCTGGTCTTTGACGGCCCAATCGATACCTTGTCTGTGTGTGATGTATGTATTTATTTTTATTTATATGTTTCTTTTATATGGGCTTCATTTCCAGATATTCGATGACGAGGAAGATGGAGAGAAGCAGCTGCAGTTGGTGCTGAAGGAGAGACTCAAAGTATTGGGAGAGCAGGTTCGGTGTAGTTGCAGGACTAGTATTAATATATTCATTAATGCATTTCTTCATTTTTTTAAATGAAGCCGATTTAGATGATCGATTGCACGTTAAATTACAATACGTCCTGCTTACACACCGAAAAATTAAGTAGTCGTATTGTTCAAATAGTTTCACGTTTTCTGCATGTAGCACTGATAAGCTCTTTTACCGGAATAAACTGGGCCATGATGACCCATATACAAGGGCAAAAAGTGCATCGCTTTTGGGACAATGTATCACTCATTTATTTGAGTGTAGTCATGGTGAAGTCAAAATGTCCACATGATCCAAGAAAGGGGGTTTATGGGGGTGAATTAGGCAAAAAAAAGTTTAAGTTTCTCACCCAGTTATGGAAAGATCGGGTTCCAAAGGCAGGATCCCTTGTGAATCAAGTCACGAAAAGTTCAAGAACCGGCAACATGCCATGGGCCTATTTCTTCAGTGCCGACACTTCTATTCTGTTGTATTTTATTATATTATATTATATTATATTGTATTATATTATATTATATTATATTATATTATATTATATTATATTATATTATATTATGGACTCCTCGTGTTACGGTACGGACTCCTCGTGTTACGGTAAGGACTGCTCGTATACTTTCTTCTTTAGTTAATTTGCTTACGTATACTTTATGTTTACTTACGTATACTTACTTAGTTACTTTATGTTTACTAAAGGTATACTTACTTAGTTACTTTATGTTTACTTACGTATACTTACTTATGTTTACTTACGTATAATTTCTTCTCTACTTTATACTTTTACTCCTAATGGTGACATTAGAATTAAAATTCCACTTGCCATGCATTATTAGCAACCTAATTACGACGACTTAATGGTGGTGGTGATGAGCTAGCAACAACTGATGGTGCGTGCAGGTTGAAGGCACGGGTGGTGATGCGGTGGTGCGCGCGGTGGACAAAACGTGCATGGTTGCCGCGATGATGCGTGCGCGTGATGTGCTGTGGCAGGCGCCTGAGTGCGCCATGCGCCTGGACATGTTCGAGGCGCAGTGCAGCGCACAGTACGGCGCACCGCTGGACCTGGAGCTCCTGACGCAGCATGATGACCCTGTCGTCACGGTGAGCATATCAGCATACTGGCTGCTATCTCGTCCTAGTTACTAATGACTGTCGATGCTATTTGTTACTTAAGCTCTAGTTACTAGTGACCGTCAATGCTATTCGTTACTTAAGCTCTAGTTACTAGTGACCGTCAATGTTATTCGTTCCTTGAGCCCTAGTAACTAGCGACCGCCTATGCTATTCGTTCCTGAAGCCCTAGTTACTAGTGACCGTCGATGCTATTCGTATCTCAAGCCCTAGTTACTAGTGACCGTCGATGCTATTCGTTCCTTGAGCCCTAGTTACTAGTGACCGTCGATGCTATTCGTTTCTCAAGCCCTAGTTACTAGTGACCGTCGATGTTATTCGTTCCTTAAGCCCTAGTTACTAGTGACTGTCGATGCTATTCGTTCCTTAAGCCCTAGTTACTACTACTAGTGACCGTCGTTAAATATTAAAGGGTTTATCCCTTGCCTATGAATTATTTAACCACCGTCAATAAAGGCTTGGTGTTATTAAGTGTCTGTCAGTGGTAGCCTGGTACTTAATTATCAGGCCTTCAGGTAGGAATAAAATTGACGGTGGATAACATACCCGCAAATAGACCATAAATTCATTCATCTATCCTAATGGTATGTTTTTTATTAAAGAGACAAAAGTGCTGTAAATGTTGGCTTTTCGCCCAGTCCATTTGTGCACTCGGGTAAGGAAGCAATATTATTCATTGCCTATTGTACAATACAAACTAGACGAAGCTATGCAGGAGCATATGTTCAGTCTTAAAATGCCTAGCAAATTACGGACCAGGCAATAAGTCCAGACGAAGCTATGCAGGAGCATATGTTCAGTCTTAAAATGCCTAGCAAATTACGGAGCAGGCAATAAGTCCTGCAGCTATCTCATTCAATCGTCAGCTATGGAAAGATCGGGTTCCAAAGGCCGGATCCCTTGTGAATCAAGTCACGAAAAGTTCAAGAATCGGCAACAGGCCATGGGCCTATTTCTTCAACGCCGACACTTCTATTCTATTCTAATTGATTGCAAGGCAGACTTCCTTTAGGATTTCCCGCATTGACTTGAATTGCGCCGCAGTTAATCACATTTCAGAAAACCATATTCTTTATTTACCTTTATCAAGAAATGATCATTCAGCATATACAGTATTCTTAAATTCAGAAAACTTTGAAGCGTCATGTCCAAATATATGAACATTTTCCGTTCGTAGCCCTTTTCCTCGGCAATACTGGGTCAGGTTAACCCACACATCGGGGCAAGAAGTTCATAGCTATTTGGACAATGTCTCTCAATTTTTCTGAGTGTACAGTTGCCGTTGTACAGGTGTACTCTGAGGGCGGGGAGGACATGGTGCAGCTGACACCTGTACACGTGTACGCACGAGATGTACAACAGCTGCTCACTGAGGCGGGGGGGCGCATGCTGCTGTCGAACTTCGAAGCTGCGTACGCTGAGCGATACGGTGCGTGACGATTTTTTTTCATTTTCAATTTTCGTTGCAATTTTTTTCAAATTTCATCCTCAATTTGCTTTATTTGAGTATTTTAATGTAACATTTTTATCAAAGTTTATCTTGAAGTTTCATTCAACTTGAACTGTAAGTTTATATCGGTGCGTTGATAAACTTGATATTCTGTATAATCAGCATACTTTTTACCAAATCTTTGAATATTTACGTTCTTCCCCCTAATACCTTTTTATATAAGATTAAGTTTGGGTAATTTTCAAGCTTTTCATATAATATAAAGTTTCGTCAAAGTTCCAAACTTTAAGTTCATATCGATACATCACGATATTTAAGAAATTTAATTCCCATTTTATCATACCATGAATATTTTTAATCTTCCGGCTAAAACCATTCTAGTTGAAGCTAAAGTCTCGTAAAACTTTAACTCAAACATCAAGTTCATCTTCTCTCGTCACTCTATAAGTAAAATTTGTTCTATTCGCATAGGTAACTTCTCTTAGCCTATCATAAAAAAAACTGTGCTGAATTTGTTCATAGTTTCCGCATGCTTGTCTCAGGCGGACCTTGTCGACCAGCACGCATCAGTTTTCCTAGCGTCGTGGCGCTGCTTCAATCCCTCCCTGAAATAGTCTTGGTCAGAGGACGAGGGTCCAAAAAAGTTCTCATCCTACCCCCCAAAGAATCCTTCGACAGCCAATCCATCAGAGAATCCAGCTACTGTACCACTTATTCCAGTACTTGTGCATCCGCTATTGAGTACGTTGCACAGAACGGCGGTGTAGATGTACAAAACTTGAAGACTTCACACGAAGGCGTGGTCGTTAATGGTGTTGGAAACGCCGTTATAATTCCTAAAGTAGATGGTGATATCAAAAACTCCTCAGGTGATCAAAACATCCTCGAGGGCTCCTTCAAAGATCTAAACAATAATGAAATGTTCAAGCTTCAGAATAATGCTTGTGGGATACAACGTAAGACTGGCAAGTATTGCTTACGTCAAAACCATGAATTTGAGTTTGGATTAACTGCGTCAACGAAGTCGTCGTTTCTTTTGACTGGAGTTCACGCAGATGAATTTTCCAAGCATGAAAATAACCTTCGTGCTGCCGAACAGGAAAATTTTCCGTTAAAATCACACGCAAAAAACTTGAGCATCATGAGGCGCTCTCGGTCTATGCCACGTTTTGTTAAGACTGACCCAGCCATGGAAGCACATGTAACTTCATCGTTTCAGGATTATCCTCCGTATCAGAGGCACCACTCAGACAACGTGTACCTTGCTGGCTCTGACCGCGATGGTCTGATTTGGAGTTCCACAAAGGAATCCATCGCCACGTCTCAAATATCCTCCCGCATGTTGAGCGTCACTGCTGCTGTGACACAGTCTGTTTCGGTGACGGTAAACTCTGTGGTTATAGTAACGGCTTCTCAAGACGTTGTCGAAACTGCGGTGAGCTCGGCTTCACCTAGACTGGCTCCCGATAAAAAATTAACAATGGTCAACGGAACTTGTACGGCAGAGACTAAGATTGTTGCTCCCAGAACAATTTTTGATGCAAATGGCCAGCAAAAAACTGATCACTTGATTGGTGCCCCACACCTCGAAAAACCTGCAACTGCGTTTGAAATCAGTAGTGCGTTCAATTTGAACAATGAAAATGAAGTATTCCACACTTCAATAAATCACAATGACTTTCACCTCATTTCTCCTCCTCCTGCGACTGAACACAAAAAAATTGTTAATCCAAGCGTCTCCAATCCCCATGAAAACCAATTCGTAGCTAACAACATTGAAAATCAAAATGCGCAGTACCCCTCGAAAGCAACGACACAAGCCATGCGAAGAGACCAACGTCGTTTTTCGCCTAGCCAATTCAAAGTTAATGATAACTCTGATGTGAACTCGTCACCCAACGCTGGCGGGAAATTCTCCTTCGTGTCTGATATGAAATATTACCGCAATCGACTTCTCTCAAACGGCGCTGGTAATTCAAACCAAACTGCCAATTCCGTCCAGCGGAATAATCTGGGTTTTCCCAAGAACAATTCGTTTGGAGGAGACTATCACCGAAACGGCAGCAGAGGGGAAAGTCGCCCACGGGAAAACAACCGTCGGGTCTCTAACGGCCGCAGTGGAGGAAACAAAGGAGACGGGGATCACAACGGTTCTTCTTACTATCCATATCGCTCTTCTTTCTCCAAACATTTGAGGCCTCAACCTAACTACTGCAACTTCCAGCCCGTGTCGCACAACAGGTCAGGATCGTGTGAAAGTAAATTCTTGTCTTAAATTTTCGAATTTTGGCAATTAAATTCACTTCTGAATGCTGACCTTTGCTTTTAAGTAAAATAGACAATTTTTATTCAATTTGCATTGTATTCCCGATCATCTATGGAGTTTCTCCCAGTTTTTTGTAATTTGGACCAGTCTCGTCAATTTATAATATTTTGGCTGAAACGAGCAGATAATTTTAGCAATGCCGACATTTTTCTCATTTTATTTAAGAAATTTTTTATTTAAAATTTCAAGCTCGTACCGACACAAACAGACTGAAACAGTGGAATCATTATATTCCAAATTTGATGAGTGTTCTTGACCAAAGTTGTTACCATTAAGAGCAGGTAGAATGTTCGGAAGAAATAACATAATGTTGAATTTGGACGTAAAATTATTACAGGTTCCAGTAAGGTATTAGAACGTAAAATTATTATAAATTGCATTTAGGTATTAAAGTATTGCTTCGGTTGTCAGCTTGTTCTTAGAAAAAGTCCAATTTACCAAAGTTAGAGTGAGATCGAAATTGCGTTTCGTGTCCTGTTACCAAAAAGTCCTGTTATTCAAAAATTTACGAAAGTTATCAAATTTTACCATAAATACGACCAAATTTAAGTTATCCATTTTAATTTAAATGAAGTTTCTCTTGTTTTGTTCACAAGAGCGTACAGGGAAGCGCAGGTTCTTGAACAAGACAACGCTAAGCCCCCCGGCAGCCCCTGCCATGCCTCCTCCACTGGGGCTGTCCCCATCCCCCACGCCATGGACCCCCACCCTGGGGGACCCGCCTTCTCCCCCCCAGCCTACGACTTCCAGGCCTGTCTACCAGGTCAGACCCAGCAGACAAATGACGTTGAAAAAACGTTTAATTAACGTTAATTCAACGAAACGCCCATTATTTCAACTTTTATCTAATTTTCATATATCTGGGGAGGTGCTTTTCATACACGCAGTGGTTACGGTACACTAGGTGAAATTAGTGAAACTTTGTCCCAAAAGCGGCGCACCTTTTGACCTTTGTGGGTCATTCTGGCCCAATTTGCCCTGACCAAATCGAGTATTGCTGCTACGAGCAGAAAGTGTCAATATTTGGCCAATCTGACCCATTCTTTTTTTTTCTAAGTGTAAACGATATATAACATTAATGCAAGAGATATCGCATTGACAATTAGTTCTATACAAGTTAGCCCGATATAGGGAACCTACAGTAAATCAGATGTTCCGTCATCACGTGACAACCAATTAATCAGTTAACTGATCAGCTGTTCAGCGTAGTAACTGATACTGTTCGTTACAATTTATCATTACCCGTCATGTTCGATCCCAGCTCTGTGCGCCAGTTTCTGGTCAGAATCGACGACGAGGCCGGGCGGTTAAGCAAAGCAAAATTTGAATCAGTGAGTTGCAAGTTCGAGACCGCAAAATGCTGTGGATGTTCTGCGATGTTAAGAATCGGCGACAGGTCTACGGCCTAATAAACGCAGAAACCGCTATTATTGATTGTTATTATTATCAACCGTCATGCTGCCTGATGCCGTCATCAATCGTCACCTCAAATGGCAAATTTGAAGCTCACGCATCCAATTCGGCCCACTACTGAAATTACATAGCTTAATATTACGTGTCATGATAATTGGTACATTGATATTTTATTTTATTCGTGATATTTACGTCAAGAACAAAGACTATATTCGAAGCTTTGCAAGTTCTGCGTCTTCCTCGTTTAAAAGGCCAGCTCCAGTGTTTCTAGAAATTTCTCGGGGTAATGATACAATTCCATTGTTTAGTCCTAGAATTTTATTGAAAATTTAATTAATATATTAATTACGATAATACTTAATATATTGGTTGATGACTTATCTTGACTTGATAAATTTTCTTCGGTCAGACGGCAGCAGCGTATTCGTTACGGTCCCTCCACCGCAGCCTTTTCAGTCGTCCCTGGTTAGTAACTTAGTAACCATAACTTGGTAGCCATAAATACTTATTAACCTGTTTAGTGACTTAATTAGCCATAAACACTTAGGAACCTGTTTAGTAACTTGGCAACCGTAAATACTTAGGAACCTGTTTCGTAACTTAGTAACCATAAATACTTAGGAACTGGTTAGTAACTTAGTAACCATAAATACTCATGAACCTGTTTAGTTACTTAGTAACCATAAATACTCATGAACTTATTTAGTAACTTGGTAACCATAAATACTCATGAACTTATTTAGTAACTTAGTAACCATAAATACTTAGGAACCTGTTTAGTAACTTGGTAACCATAAATACTTAGGGACCTGAACGAGCTCTCAAAATGATGCTGATTTATTTTCGATTTTAATATTGGGTTAAAATTTAACGATTTTGAAAATCGACTGAAATTGGCATTTTTCAGTTGATTGGCTCTCCTGGAAACTCTGGCGGCACATCTTTGATGTGGGGGCAGATATGGGCTCCTGCACATCAGTACCCATCCGTCATCACCTCACCCATGTCTCCTGCCCATTATGTGGTGAGTGACACCACACCTCACCCATGTCTCCTGCCCATTATGTGGTGAGTGACACCACACCTCACCCATGTCTCCTGCCCATTACGTGGTGAGTGACACCACACCTCACCCATGTCTCCTGCCCATTACGTGGTGAGTGACACCACACCTCACCCATGTCTCCTGCCCATTAAGTATAAGATCTCGCTTCTTCCTCCATATATTCTTTTTCGGAATTTCACGTCAACTTCCACACTCCTCGCCTTCACGGTTCATCAGAACAACACCTGCACTCGCTCTGCTCTTGTCACCTATAAAGTTTTTTCTGATTTTTAATATAACATTCGCAAATCTTCGTAAAACGCGTAATTAGTTACGAATCCACGAGAAACTTGCACTATCCTTTGGACCAAAAAAGTATTTACTATATGACCTCCATATTCAAGCATTTCCACCAGCTAAAATCTACTATCTTGGTAAAATTTGTAAGCCAAGGTTGCCTACCGATTCAAGTTACGTATCAACTTATCTAGCAACTTATCTAGCAACTTATCTATTAACTTATCCATCAAATTATCTATCAAGTTATCTATGAAGTTATTTATCATAGTCCCTTGATGAGCTGGGATATTGTACAACTGTTCTAAATTGGGTAGGAGTCAATAGGAAATATTACAATTTTTTTTATTTTAATTCTTCCCTTCAGATTCCATCGGGTCTGTCAGTAAGTTGGGGGAGCATAGCGGCCTCGCCCCCCACGCTGGGCATCCCGCCCCCACCCCTGGCTCCACAACCCCACCCCGTCCACCAGGGCAATGCCTTGTCTCTGCGCACCCTCGAACAGCCCAGCCAGGTGCTATAAATTAGCTTAATTAATAAACGAACAACATGCGTTGTTAATTCAGATTTCCTGTTCTAAATTGAATTTATTACTGCTAAAAAAGGTTTGAATTACGATGAAAAAAATCTAATGAGAATCTAAAACGCAAATATTTCGTCATTAACGATCTTGCATTTAAAATTATGCTTACTTAAATTAGTTAATCATTATGATAAATTATTACTCGTCATTGCTTGATCAGCCTCGATTCGATTCATTTGTCTATCCTTGGTATTCGATCATTATAAGATTATCTCACGATTATCGTGCAGTGTGGCTACAGAATCGCTGGTCTCGACTTGAACACGTCTATGGCCGCCCCAGGCCACGACCCACCGGCGATATTACAACAAGCGCCACACTTCCCGTCCTTCCCCTCAGCCCAACCTCCACCGGGATTCCTTTTGCATCCAACAACTCCCTTCGTGCAGCAGCAGTTCGATGCCAGCTCCACTCAAGTTATTTCAACAGAAGATTCGTCTTCTGTGTTGCCATCACCGTCATCCGTGTTGCCAGCTCCGACGTCCATCTTGCCGACTCCGACGTCCGTGTTACCAGCCCCGACCTCGGCGTTGTTACCACCATCGACTTCTTGCGCTGGTTCAACATCTACTCATCTGGATAAAGACTTTTCTCGTGTTCAGAGCGAGGCTCATCAGAGTCGCGCTTATCCAATGCCGTCCACAAGTGTTGCCTACTGTCACGTGCCTTACCCCAGCGTCTGTTTGCCAGAGCCAGGTCTGGGTGTTGACACGTATGGAATGCTTGATAACCTACATACATGTTCTATAGATTCTTTGCCATTTCCTAATCTTCAACAGCATTCGGGTTGCAGCGGTTTCAACAACACCAGTAACGCAATGTCTTTCCCGACCCCCTTTTGCTCTGGGGTCGTGCCAAGCTTTGATTTGGGGTCAGGGCTGCAGTGCTCTCCCCCTTCCCCTTGTGTCGCATCGATGGCTCCTATTTTCAACCCTGACTTGGGTGTGGAAATTTCCTCTACCGCTTCATTGACTCATATTTTCGCCCCTACGTCGATAGGCCCAACTACATCGTGTTTTGCTAACTGCGACACATTTGGCGACATGACGAGTATTATTCCTAGCTCAGAATCCTTGACATCCGCCGCGGCTGGAGGAGGTTCCGAGCACGGACTGCCTGCATCGCTACTGACCAAAAAAATATCTAATCTACAGCCTTCGCCACCTCTTCATCATCATCAAGAGCTTGGAATCTGATTCCTAAATCTCTGACTTGATTATTAACATTTCTGTTCGTCAATGTTTCGGTAGTTGTGTCAGAACAGACAGTGAAATATTCTAATATGCTTTCAGAATATGCGTCCTTGAAAAACGTTACTTTTCTTTTCACTTAGTTTCGAATTCAGCCAAGATTTGGTACTTTCCTTCGATCGTATTTATATTATATACTACCTATACTCTTTATGTACCCGTAGATACATTTATTTCCTTCCTTAAAATGACTCCGTTCGTTTCAACCCACGTTCTCGAACTCATATCCTGTATTTCAAGCTAAGTTGTCTATTTCTTGCAATTTTATGTTTGCATACGAAATATTTATCATAATTTATGAAATACTTCTATGTATCTTATTGCTGGACCCTCGATAAAGAGGTCATTTTGGCTGTGGTTTATTATTAACATGTTCAATGTTGGTGTTGGATTGAAGATTGAATCTTCATTCTTACGTGTTGTGTAAACGTTCATTTGTTGTATTCTTGTTCAAAATGTTGTTGGCGCCGTTACTTAAGTTAAGTACTAGATTTAAGGCCTCTTGATTTTGTGATACTGTGGGTTTGAGCTAAAGCTTAAGTTCGGGAAACCGGTTGTGAACGAAAGGCTCTCTTCGCGTTGGACAAGAAGCCGTCAAGGCTATGTTATGAATGGTATCTGCTATTGAAAGCTGTCTAATGTTGTCGCCGTGTCATGAGCTTTTGGATACATCAGATATGTTTGTGACGTGCATTTATATGCATCAGATTTGTTCATGGTTGCCCAAACTCTCGTCTCAGTGTTGCACTGATCTCGTTCCTTGGTGTTTTGGAATAAATTTCCGCTTTTGTTTGATTCCTTCTTCACCTCTGAAAGTCTACTTTGAGTATAGTGAATTGGCAGTTTTCAGCAGAGCTAAATAGTTTAGGGGATACGGAAAACCTAAAAACCGCATAGACATAGGCCAAATGTGGCCTCTCCCCGATTGAAGTCCTCGCAGAATTCTTACAGCTTGTTGAGGTTTCGAGCCCACTACTCATAGCGTCTATTTCTCATTTTCTGCCACCCGGTCTCCTCGCCGATTTTGACCAAACTTATCATAGGAAGCCGAGATCAAACCCTCAACGCAGCGCTCCGATCTGGGTATTCATAGTAACCACTATGCCACCCTGCCTTCTATAATGGTAGTGTAATTATGCATTTTTTGAGTAGTTAGCTTCGTTTCATAGGACTGCGATGACTAGTCGTTTTTTAGAATAGAAGTGTCGGCACTGAATAAATAGGCCCATGGCCTGTTGCCGATTCTTGCACTTTTCGTGCAGTGATTCACAAGTGATCCTATTATTAAGGCACTAATGTGTGTATTTGCGTTAATAAGACGTGTTACGAGTCCAAGTTTCAGGAAATTCGTTGTTTTTTTTTCATTCGCATTGATAGCCCCTGTGGTCTTGCTTCTCGTCTCTTACTTTTCAATCCATATGCCGGTAATTTATTAAAACGTTTGAGTAATTGTACCAGATAAGTAGATAGAAAATCAACTGATTTAGTTTATTCTCAATCAATCGTGAGGATGCCGCCATATAATTACTCGACTGCCATAGTCCCATGAACCGTTCTTTGATCCACAACTTTTACAGAAGCGCTCCCGATATCAGAAGTGAATTATTGACCAATTGCGTTAGCGGCAATTGAAAGGTAAGTATTATCTCAACTGTTGATTTAGTTGTACGTAATAATGTTGACTTCACTTTTGAAGGTAACGATATGCGTAATTTACCACTACTCCTGTTAACGAGGTGAAATATTTGAAAAGCATTATTATTTCGGGTATTGTTGATATCGCGTAAGACAGCTAAATTGCGTCCTGCACCATCAGTCTTCACATACAAACATAATTAACGGCTTCTTTTATTTCCTCATTGGATATTCATACAATTTAATTTTATGAGCTGATAGATCATAGGGTGGCCCAGTGGTTAAAGTTCAGAGTATCAATATTGGCGCAGAGAGGCGTGGGTTTCTGGTCAGAATTGGCGAGGAGGCCGGGCGGTTAAGCACAGCAGAATTTGAAGCAGTGAGTTGCGAGTTTCGTGACCGCAACAAGCTGTGTATGTTCTGCGATGTTAAGAATCTGCGACAGGCGTACGGCCTAATAAACGCTGAAACCGCTACTAATATTATTATTACTATTATTATTATCATCAATAATTTTTATGCGTTTTACCATTTACGTAACCCGTTGGGAGAAACTGAATCCTCAAGTGCGGACGTTGTCACAGGAAAACTTGACTAACGGGCGACAAAGCGCCTCCAGGCTCCAGCAACCAGCTCCAGCCCTCCAGCCTTCCAGGCACACCACCTTGGCGTGGGGAATGGGGATGCATTGGACAAGTCTTCTTAAGCCCCGATAAACATTGACCAAAAAAAACCTTCAGAAAGCGGCGCCGCCTCAAATATTCGCATATTCTCATGTGAGGCACAGGTTCACAGCTGCAGCATACTGAGCATAGTGATAGGGTAAACGCGGTATATTCCGACATCGTGGGTAATTCCGTCACCTCTTTAGTTTTTCCTTTATATTAAGCTTTGTTTTAGTTCCATGCGTTCGTTGATGGTTGAAATGGCGACGTCGTACATTTGCGTGTCAAACTACTGGCTACTGCCAAAACAGTGTGAAAACACTAGGTCTTGGCCATCTAGTGGGAAAATATTGAGATCCAAAGAGAGACGATGCACGGCTTGCACGCTACCAATGAGATCATCGAAAAATGTGTCAAATTTGACAGTTGACCTTGCTCTACGAGTCTACGTCTACCAAATAGTAAATAACTGTTTGTATAGGAAGAATATTATGGTTTGAGACTTTTAAATACGTCTGTGAATATATTAGGAATCCTTTAAGTATACTTGTATTTGCTGATTTCAAGTGGTAAATAAATTAATAGATGATTAAGTTGAGAAATGGATTTAGACACATGAAAACTAATTCCGTCACAACTTGAATCGGACACACACAGATCGTTCCAAGCTGTGTACAAAAATTAAAATTTGCTTAATTAAAAGCTTAATAGTTCTTAATTAAAAGCGTAATTAAGTAGTGTTCAATTTTCATTAGTGTTCCAATTCAAAGCCGTGTTGCATTCCAATACAGCTCTCACAGCAAACGGAATTCGAACATGTGGATGCATTACGTATCAGTAGAATTTGAAGCGCGGACGGAATACGCCTCACCACATGCCGAATATTGCCACACACAGTGACGGAATATAGGGATTTGGTAGGTTTCCATTCTAAAGGCTTTTAAATAAATATGGCAACATTTTGTGATGTTTTGTTGTTGCTGACACGTAGTGCAGTGTTTTGAGAGTCACATAAAGCAAACAGAACTTGAGTAACGCATATGGTTATTTTTTTATAGTTTTTAATTTCTCGATGCGTCCTTAATGTGACGGAATATACCACGTTTACCCTAAACTACAGAATACAGATGACAGATTTTTACCACACTTCTCTTTAACTTCACTTCTTGTTGTGTTGTCAGTTGTCTCACTTGTCTGTCTGATACAAATTGTATAATCAAAATTTAACACACTTCTAAAGTTATACCTGTCCAATCAATCTGAAATTTAGCACACGTGTGAGTGTGACTTGTGTAGCCATAACGTTGGAGACAATCCATGAATCAATTGATAACAAATAAATTTACAAATTAAAAAAAAAGTATATATTAAAAAATTTCAAAAATAGTTTTTTTAATATTTAAAAATAAAGTAAGAAATTCATTATACATGTGTAACAATAAACTGAATAACATAAGAGTCTTAGAGAAACTGGCCTCTTTAGAGGTGTTGTCTCTGAAAAGTAATTTTTAAGTGCATGTTTTTAGTTCTATAAGTAGACCAGTAAAATATCATGGACACCAGCATAGTGGCAAACCAGTGATTTTTTAGAATAAGTTCATTTTTAATTTCCTCATCTAGGTACTCAAGATTTTAACAGGCACACCAGCATTATCATACATAAGATATTGGTTAAATCTTGGTTAGATGAAATACATATAATGAACTGATTCTTGAAAATCATAGTATTGCCATTATGTTTTGGTTTTCAAGGTTCAACTTGCAAGATGTAAGTGACTAAAGTGTTGCAGTTGCTGTGTCTGCAATGTGGATTGTGGGCTGTGGCCCAGTCCCACCGGCCCTACAGCATTGTGGCAATTCGGCAAACCAGATATTAGAAATGGTTCATATTTAAGTTCCTTGTCTATTTCAAGAGTTCAAAATTTCATTCATATTCAATATCTTGTGTACTTGTATAGCTAAGAATAAGATAGGCAAAGCAGATATATTTGCAAATTGTTATTATTGTTATTTAGCAAGTCATATGAATAAACTGGTAAAGTATCATGAACACCTGCATTATCATATAGATATTGAATTAAATTATGAGCTAGATCAGAGAAATAAAAATTAACTGGGCAACTGGTTGCTTGAAAATATCTTGTTTGCCACTTAATAATTTAGCAGCCAGTATGCAATACTATGCATGATAGTGCTGGCAATTCATGTTGGAAAATGGAATTTTATAGACTCAGTTGTTTTCTAATTGCCTGATCTTGCTAAAAAAAATTTTCAATATCTTATGAAAGTATTTAATTAGTATAATACAGTAGAATGATCATCACCTAGCCACCCACTTGTCATAGTAAAGGTAAACAAAAAAGTCTTGTTTGCTATCATGACTGGTAACTGATAGTCCATGATACTCTCTGGGGCCGTATTATCAAAACTTCGTAAGTACGCAAAATCGACTTACGAGTGGCGTTGCTATGACAACGTAATACTAGCGGTGGCATTATAAAAACATTTGCGCGATAAAAATTTGCGCGGGGAAAAATTTAGGCTTTTAGCTAAGACTTGCGTACGAAAGTTTTGATAATGCCAAAATTAGGGTGTATTTATGTACAACAGAACATTTTTGTCGTAAGTACAAAAAGTTACGAAGTTTTGATAATCCGGCCCCAGGTCTATAGGACTCTAAAATGAACTTTAGCTAGGCCATAATGACAAACCAAAGATTTTTTAGAATAAGTTCATTTTTGATTACCTCATCTACTAAAATTTAAAGCAATTTCTTATGTATGATAATGCTGGTATCCATGATACTCTTCTGGTCTACTTATAGAAGCCAAAACTGAACTTGAGAAAGAGTCTAAAAAATCTCTGCCTTGATACTATTAGCTAGGCTAGGCCCCTAGGGCAACAGTAAATTTTCTCCTTGGCTGCTATGCTCTTGCTGACCCTGACCAGGATTCCTACTTGTTACTAATCTTGTTCCAAATTTTCTCATGCAGATCAAGTTATTTGGTCCTAGTGTTTATAAAATTGACACATGAATTCCTTGCTAAGTCCCACTTATCTTAAATATACGGTAACTGCATCCTGACTATAGCCTGTGATGGAGACCTAATCCTTAATTATAATACACCCTGAGTCTCTTATTGCAATACCAGAAGCATGATAACCTAGAGTGAAGTCCTGGTAACTGCAGTTGCTATTAATAATTGTAGTTAATTGTTTTTATTCATGACATTTTGCTGCTATTACTGAGGTCATGTTTTATTTACTATATAATATATTACTATATTGCATTTCATGTGATTTGGAATACTGGTTAATGAAATGTCTCATTTTGTCTTGGTTGTAAAATATTTTTTGTGTTTCAGATCTGCTGGCGCCATGACAGGCTTGTGTTCAAGACGAATCTTGAGGCTACGTTTGCAGTATAGCCGCTACTGGTTCATGCTTGTGCCTACTGTTGCCCTCATCTTATTTATCTTCTCAGTTGGGGGAGGTTTTAGCTTCCCTTGCACCCTCATGACATGCCACTCTGAGGAAAGCCTCCCCTCCCCAGATCAAAAGAGAAATGGAGAATTGAGTTCTCTATCAGACTTGAATGGTATCGAAATCTGTCTGAGCATCAAGTTTGTTGAGCCAATACAGCCTTTGGAGCTGACTGGCTCTCCTCAACTAGGGACAAAAGGACCCTACGTAGTAGTCTACAACTACCTTAAGTCCTCAAAATTCTATGCCATCAATGAAACTGTAACATTCACCACCCACAGCACCCCAGAGTTTATGAACAATGTTGGTACTATAGCTGAGCGCTGGGATGGTCCAGTCAGTGTTGCTCTCTTTGTGCCATCCACTGACTTCTGCCGCACGCTGCATCGCCTCATATTTCTCCGTAATTGTGACAAGGCAGCTTACAGGGAAAAAGTAACCTGGCATCTTTACTGGCCTAAAGATTCTCCTCCACCTTCCAGTTGGAGTCTTGTTCCTGATGAAACACAAGTGGAGTGTGAAAAACTAGCTAATGACTATCGACACAACATTGACCTCAAACAAACGTGGCGGGCAGTCAACCATCTTTCATATCCCATCAACGTTGGTCGCAATGTGGCCCGTCAAGCCTCCACTACCTGGTTTGTCCTGCCATCAGATGTGGAACTTTTTCCGTCCATTGGTCTTGCTCCACAGTTCATGAACTTCATCTCACACCAAAGCAATAACCTTAAAATGCCACCAAGATTAAACAAAGATCCTCCTAGACGCGTTTATGTCGTGCCCGTTTTTGAAGTGAAGGAGATCTTACCTAACAAGAAAGAAGAGCTGATCATTCAGCTGGCGCGCAACTCAGCGGTTTACTTCCACAGGCTCGTCTGTCCCCACTGCCAAAGATTTCCTGGCATCCGAAAGTGGATAACAGAAATCGGCACACCTGGCCAAATTCATGTTAGTTACGTATCTTTTTGTGATCTTATTATAACTCGCCATTGAATGGTTCTTGTGAAAATATAATAATAATACGTGTAATCTTCCCCGAAATAACAGTACCATTTAATATGTATGGTTTTAATGCTCTTCCCATAGTAATAAAAAAAAACATATACCCGATTCGATAAAATTGTTACAAGATTTTGTGCCTGAAAGATATTTTACCGGGAGAATGCCATTGAGATAAGCAAATGAAAAGCATATTCTGTATGACAGGCAATGTCATTGACTTATTATAAACATATTCTGTATGACAGGCGATGTCATGGACATATTATAAACATATTCTGTATGACAGGCGATGTCATGGACTTATTATAAACATATTCTGTATGACAGGCGATGTCATGGACACAGCGTGTGCCGCCATATCACCGCTGGGAGCCTATCTTCGTGTGCAGTCCTAGGGAGCCTCTGTACGACGAGCTCCTTTCATGGGATGGCCTACAGGATAAGATGACTCAGGTATGATGGCGATATTTTGGCTGTTGAAATATAAATATTAAAATAAAAGATAACTTATTTTGTAGTTTGTGTACCTCAATTGTGCCTTCATCTTATGAAATATGTGTGAATACATTTCAATATTGTCAATCATTTATATAGTATTCTGAATATTGTGATGATTTAGAGTGTAAACATTGTGTGGCAGAAACAATATAAAGTAACAAGGAATCTCCTTGCACTTATTGTTCTTCTTAACTAGTATTGTAGCGCAAAATTTTAAAACTGATGGAATTTGGCTTAGCCTTAATTTACTGTATGTATTTAAGTGAGCAGCAAGGTCATAAATCTCTTGGCTTATCATTCCGCAATTTCTGCCTCTGCTTAAATGTATTCTCGGTTTGTATAAACATGATCTTACCAATGGTTTGCTAAACACTGTATTTTACCTTGACTTCATCATAAAACCTTGGGCATGTTAGTGATGTTACGCCAAGGTATCAATCAAATCATAGCTATTCAGATTAATTTTGTTAGATCAAGATTCCTTTGCCAGAACTCTAACCCGAATTTCACTACAAAATCAAAGAATGTACATATGATAGATGGTCCGTTTCACAGTGATTTTTTTGCCCGATGCATTTGTCACATTTTCACTATAATTTCTCCAACAGATGCACGAGCTCTGTCTACTTGGGTACGAGTTCGTTATCCTGGACCGAGCTTTCCTCGTTCACGCTCCCGGCATCAAGCGCCCCACGCGGCGGTCCTCCAGAAACAGCGAGCGGGACGCATTTGTTAAGGAAAACGCGCGCATATATGAGCAGGTAGTAACCATGCTCGATACTAAGTACGGTGCCAACACTAAGTGCCCCCACCACTAGCACCAGGCGCGCATATATGAGCAGGTAGTAACCATGCTCGATACTAAGTACGGTGGCAACACTAAGTGCCCCCACCACTAGCACCACGCGCGCATATATTAGCAGGTAGTAACCATGCTCGATACTAAGTACGGTGGCAACACTAAGTGCCCCCACCACTAGCACCACGCGCGCATATATGAGCAGATGCTCTCAATCACGTGCCATCACTTACTTATCACGTATCATTAATTCTATCTAAATACATCAACTAGTCAAAGTTCGTCTTATAATGAAGCATTTCTGCTCTAGCGAATGGCCAATAATTGCAATCACTAAACTAGTCTTGTATCGTTTAAACTGTGGCTTGACACTGAGAACGCCCTCGGATTTCCCTCACTTGTGGCCATGTTCCTATCCTAGCCTTCAACTTCAGAGGGAAAACAACTCCTCACAATTTTTGGGGGAATAAAATGAGCTGGCGTAGGGGAATAAAATGAGGTCAAGTTTGTGGAACTGAAATTATTAGTTGACCACACGAGGCAACTCAGTGGCATTGAGATACTGTCACCGCAATCTGCAGCCAAGGTTACATTTTCTTTCACAAGAGCAATAATTAATCTACAAATAATGAATCGTTTGTCTCAAACTTTGTTCACAAATATAAAGGAATGGAGAGTTAACAGTCATTAGTCTAATAGAGATTGTGAATGCTTGCAATCTACATTGCTGTAGTTCCTAACTCGTCCATGTTGTGTTCGCTTGCTGCTCTCTTTCATATGCTCAGCGTCATTGTCGTATAGTGACTGAGATATGCGTAGAACTTGTAGAACTTTACTTATAAGCAAAGAAGTTCATAAATTGAATTATTAAGCACATAAGCCAGTACTAACTGAACATTCCATACGCTGTGTGTTCCTATAACTTATTTTCTAGTAATTACCGCAATGTGGTTTCATCAAGAATATTCAACAAAGCGTGATGTCGTAAAGCATTCCATGTTGGTATGATGAGATTCTAGTTTAAAACAAGGGCAGTAATGGACACCTTTGAGGTCCTTTGCTAACTAAAACAATCACAGGTCCTCCGTAATTACACTAGCAATCTTACTTACGTGTTGAAGTGCTGTAATATTATTCCTAATTTCTCAAAAAACCCTTCTTTTCATGTGTTGATATCCGATCATCCCGGACCCATATCCGCGCGATTTTAATGGTACAATCTTCGTAAATAATGCAGCGGGAAAACATTCCCGCTTGGGTAAATATAAAAAATGTATTCGTTTTTGCAAAGCAAGGCTTTAGTTACTAAAATTACCATCGAGTTGAGCCGCATGCGCTGAGGCCATGGTCTACTACTCTGAATAACTTCAGTGCGTTTTTTTTTTATTTCGACGTTTTCATTTATCCACTTTATTGAATGTATTTCAATTCAAGAAAGATAGCATGGATAAGATAAGAAAGATAGATTGGAAGGCGTGAGAGATCCTAGTGTTAAATCTTGAGTCTGGTAATTATAATGCATAACAACGGTAGTATTGGTCGGGTGCCGGGCGTTCGATTAACAATTGTCTTCATTGTTTCAGATAATCCTAGATGCTTTAAACTGAATCTCATTGCCTGTCACAAAGTATTAAATGTCGAGATGTGAAGCATACTTGGTTTAGCAGGAGCGTTATTTTGGCTGCTCCTTGAATTCACTACAGCGCTGTAGTGACGAACTTGGTATATAGTTATGAAAAAAATTCCAGACTTTCTAGATTGTATTATTTATGCATTATTCGGCCTTTTTATTTCTAATATTATACTATTGTTCATACTATGGTCTATGGTGCTCTCTGCTATTATATTATTATAATATTGTATTCTTGTCAGCATTTCGCCGGCCACTTAATTACTTATGTTATGGTTCGTACTTTTGTGCTCTATTTTATGTTTAAATTTTATGATATTGTACTCTGGTTAGTTGTTAATCATGATATTGTTTCTTCTGTGTCAACTTTGATAAAGTTTATGTACACTCCAGACATACGCCAGCAATTACGATGACGATGCTGTACCGTGACCAAACTTTTGGTTCGATAAATGCAGTATTTTTCTCAAACTACTAGTCACAAGTTCTTCACGGCTAGTCACAAGTTCTATTCAACTCGTCAGTCGTCACTAGTCTTCAAAGGTTGAGGCACCCTAGAGACCGGTTACCTTTCGCCCAGTTTATTATGTTCATAAAATCCGATGCCAAATAAAGCTGTTTTGTTATTATGCCTACGAAAATCTGGTTAATATTCTTTAGTTATTATTTGTTACTCAGATGCATTCTTATTGCAGATACCTCAAATCACAAGTGATTGTTTATTTTTGCATGGTAGTTTTGTTTCGCATCTTGAGAAGCATCAAAACAGCTTCTTTTCTTGTTATCGATGTTTTCTTGTTATCGATGTTTTTACAGTATTTAGATCTTCAAGGACAGTGGCGCCATTTCATTACTCATCAGGCCCTTGTGATTTTTATATTTATTTTTTAATAATTTATGCCGAAGCTTATAGGAGGTTAACTAAGATACCCAAATCTTTCCGATTGGTTTTCCGAGTTTTGACTTTACCAATAACTCGCGCAAGTTCATTCAACGACGGAGCGACACTAAGTAGCATAGAGCCTATATATCATCTACTGAAAACCTAATCTAGATCACAACATAAACATTTCATGTTGCTGATCGTTTGTAGTACATTGAGCCAGTGGTGTATTATAGGATGATTAGACATGATCAAATAGGTGTAAACGCTTATATTATTCATAGTTGCGTTACAAATGAAATGGACTTATAATAACTCGATTAAATAAGGCTTAATGACGTACATCGTTGGCTGACTATGTATGTCTCTTAACTACTAGGTACGACATGCATTTCTTGGTAGGAAAAACTGACGAACGATGTTCTGTATTTCTTGATGCGCCAAACTGACGAACAATGTTCTGTATTTCTTGATACGCCAAACTGACGAACAATGTACTGTATTTCTTGATGCGCCAAACTGACGAACAATGTTCTGTATTTCTTGATGCGCCAAACTGACGAACGATGTTCAGTATTTCTTGATGCGCCAAACTGACGAACGATGTTCTGTATTTCTTGATGCGCCAAAGTTATAATACGAGAAATTTAATAATAAGTTATAATACGAGAAAAAGTTATAATACGAGAAATACAGCTATGTTCTGAATTTCTTGATACGCCAAAGTGACGAACGATGTTCTATATTTCTTTGTATCGAATGTTCAACTGACGCAGGGTAAACTGGTTTGTGACATGTCAAACAGATCAAATTATATTTTCAAGTTAGATTTTTCCATATGTTCATCTAAAGTCAAGCTGGAAAATTGTGAAGTCACCCAGCTCGAGTAATATTCTTTTGAGCTTAGTTTTTTGTTAATCTATTCGTGCAAGATTTTAAATAAATGCATCAATTAAGATCTGAATAAACAACTGTGTCTCTAGCATCAATAAGCTAAGAGATGAATGTCGTCGAGGCCAAACACTGGACCAGAAGGCGTGGCCACTTTACCTCGTTGCAGTTACGAGGTTTAAATAGTACATACGTTTGTTATCTAGCGATTATAATTTTTTTAAATGCAGACAAAATTCAGAATCACAAAATTATGTGCAATTCGTAAGCACGGTGCTCATTACAACGGCCCAAGGGCATCGAATGTAATCATAAGTATTGGCGTTGCGGCATTGAATGAGAAAAATAAATTCTCGATTCACTTTATTAGAACATTAAAATTGTTTACCAACATTTCACACAGTTGCGTACTTATTGTACAATAATTTCTGTATTTATGCTAGAAAATGAACAAGAAACGGAACTATTCTTATTCATTTATTCACTTGTTAAGCGCAATTATATAATAGCTTAGGAAGGCTCTGTAACTACACGTATAAGATGACGTTACGTTTGAATAAGAACAGTTGAAGACAGGATTTAAAAGAAACCGCTTCACACATCAACAGAACCTGCGGCGCGAGAAATAATTTATGAATTGGACAGACACCACGCGATTGCACATGCATGATATTGTTGCAAAAGGATGGTTGGATGGAACTAACATTTCCTATTGCATATCATTCATACAAATTGAATGACGTCTGATCTCTCCTTCCCTACGGGTATCTTCACGGAATGAGCGACGCAACCTCTCAAGTTGCGTTCAACATCCTTGTTACTCATCGAAATAGAGAAGTGCAACTTTAGCAGATGCATTTAACGCTCACAAAAATATTTCGATCTTAATGGTGACAAAAAATATTAGGACATTAAAGAAATGAATCATGTCAAAGATTCGGTGCCTACGTTACAGCCTCGCAATGTTCACAGCGACCGTCAACACGAGTTGACAGGTCACGTCCTTCAACACGAGTTGACAGGTCACGTCCTTCAACACAGGTTGACGGTTCCCGCCTGTCAACAAGAGTTGACGGGTCACGTCCGTCAACAGAACAGAGCTACTAAATACATCTGTACAAGTTGGCAAACTCTTCCTAATGAGGCAGCTCATTTACGTAATGCAAGTTCAGATGTGAGTAACCACTGCTAAACACTAATGACTAATTAGTGCACAACTTGAAGAATATTAATTTCGGTGCTCCATAACACAATAAGCAGTAGAAGGCAAATCTTTCCATAAATCTGACCAATGTGACTGATTAAACCCGTTAAAATTCCCACAGATAAAATTAGGCATTGGAATAAATTTATTAATCATTTCTAAAAAAACATTCTAATTTTGATCGTGAATAAACTGTTTAAAAGGCATCTGATGAATAAAGAATAGAACACTGGAACAAACTCATTAATCAAAGCTAGAAAGTGTGCAAGTTTGTAAGCGGTAGTGAAATGTAAGTAGTGCGCTTCTCGCAGAGTTATTAATTGATAATTCTCATTGGGAATCTACAATAAATGACGGAAGTTCATTGATCAATTACAAGCAGGTTCATCCCTACCGACCGAAATCTAATTCATAATAATATACATGCCTCGCTTCCGGCTAGGGAAAAATATTCGCTTACATTAAAAACACATTCAGGACATATACATTTAACACAGAACCTTAAAATAAATAATTATTGAAGGATTAAATCCAAAAGTTTCAGTAAGAACGTCACGAGACTTCAGCAAAGTCAGAATACAATGTGGTTACGTCTTTAGAGTGAGGCTTGAACTAGGCGATGTCATTGGTTCTGACCAATGATAGAATGAGGATATAGTTAAGTCACCAATGATAGACTAATGTAGTTATTCCTATATAGAAGGGTTAACGATGAGAACTATCAATGCAAAAGTGACTAAAAGTTTTCCAGCACCCATCTCTCAGGAATAGTGGTTGCAGTCTCGGTACAGACGAAAAATATCAACTTTATTTGCAGATTCTCGATCGTAACTATTAAATTACGTGGATATCACGACTATTACATGCATATTCGGTAGCTCGATACAAAGATAACTCGTATGCTCATTGGCAGACAAGATTTGGATCAGCTTACGTTAATAATACAATGGCTACAACATTTAAACTTGCTAAACAACTACGAACGTTCACCCACTACAATACATAAAGTTATTACAAGCTACGAAATTTATTATATTCTAGGAAGATTTTATCGCCTAATTTTGCAGACACAACAAGAAGGAAACCAGAAGATGTTCTGACTGAGCTGCTCTCCCGTGCCGTCCAATGCGACCAGGCGCTTCTGGGCGAACTGCTGCTGACACACCGCGACCGCTCCTGGAGGAACCTGGCACGCCCCCGAGCACTGGTTCCGTCTGCGGGCAGAAGGAGGCAATGGGGATTCATTTTGAAAGAGGGTAAACAAGGAGTCATGAAGAGTGCAGAAATGCGTTGATGAAATTAACAATCACATGTTAAAACTAAACACGGTCACCATGTCATATGATGAGTTTGAATGTTCCAGTCCAAGGCAACACTGTTTCGACTTCGTCATTCAGAGTCATTCTGCCGTCGGTATTCAGGTCGTCACGAAGGTCGCGGGGGACAACGGATCGTAACTAACGATCATCTGCCCGCAGTAGGGCAAGCAGATGCAAGATGCTGTTGCTTGCTTCTTGGAGTTCTTGTGGTCCGAAAACGAATGATGCGGGATTGTATTCAGGAAGGCCTCGTGCCTCTCGAAGGCCTAAAAAGTGAACCTCTCTCCCAGCTTTATCGGCAAAACGTTCAGCTAAGAGCACCCGCGGTCCCACTACGAAAATGGATCTCTTCTGAAGAGACTAAACACTGACAGTAGCTCTGATGTTCACTAGCTGCCATATAGCCAAAACCCTGCCTTTCACACACCGTCATCAACACGCGATTATTGATGCTATTGGCATTATATCATTTATATATACTATAAATATTATTCTAGATATAATATTACTCACAAGCAGGTCTCGGAGCGCACCAGTTGCGTGTAGCGCGGGTTCTCCTCCAGGTTCACAAGGAACATCCAATCCCCTTATCAGAATAGAACGTAAGTGAGTTTGGAACAATATATTTATGGATAAATGATGATGTATATAAAAGAAGATATTCGTGGAAAAATAGTTGTTTATAAATAAAGCGACATATTCACTGATACAAGATTTTTGGGCTTGCGCAATTCTAAAGAAAACGCCTTATCGATGGTGTAACTAATGTAGTCACCACGTGTCATGAGCGAAAAAATTAAATAATTACGGTACTTCAAAACGTTTGAAACTTTGGCTATAGGCATGACAATTCCACAAGAGTAATAAGAATTCGAGATTAACATGCTTTCTCTGCAAATCCCTACTTGAAATGGTTGGAACCCATTGCACCACAACCCCACACACCTTACCACACCCTATCCCACACCACACCTACACTACAACCACAATTTGCCTATCACAGCAACCGCAACTTACGCCACACCACAGCCACTACCTACCGTACACATTAAAGTCTACCCGACACCACGGCATACTACTCACCACAGCTACTCCACTCTACAACTAATATCATAACTTAACCAATACACAACCTATGTCATAACTCGTGTCAGAACCCACCCCACACCACAACCTACCCCACACCCAAACCTACTCCACACCACAACCTACACCACAACCACAGCCAGGTTGGTACGCACCAGATATGCTCTGCGCTGCCTTGGGCATGATATAGTTCGCTCTGCTGGGGCAGAGGTCCATCGTGTCCCCCTCGTCTGACACCACCTGACGTCGGTACCGCATACCTGCATTCGAGGTTCTGCACACATAATATTAAAGGTATTTTAATGAATATATAAATAATAATATATTAATGGTATTTTAGATAATATAATAATGATATCGATAGTTGATACATCAATATTGTATTTGCATCCTTGATGTTAAAGCTCGAGATTTTTCCCGTTTCAACCGGGAAATTTAGAGTCGGGAAATTGATGCGCTGAAAATACTTGTAGGTAATGTTGGGCTTGTTAGTATTTATTTGTATCCTATACGGTAATATTAAAGCATAAAACCGAACGAGCAGTTAAAGTGTAACAATTATAAATAATACCTATCTTAGTCATGCTTGATATTAGTATTTTAGTCAATCATTCGTCATTCCGCAAGCCGAGATTTTGGAAATCAAAGAAATGAGCGAAATGAAGGTTAAAGAGATTTATCCATGAAAACTAGAGAATGGCGTGGTCAAGCTTCATAAGAGTGACTTCATGTTCAAAGGAAGTTTTCATTTCATAGTTAATAAGTTTCCTCATCTTCACAGATTCATCGAGAATTCCATGCAAAATGGTCCCCGCATCTACAGTTGCGGTTTGGCAGACAACATTCCTGATGAAACCAAAAGACAAGGCGCCAAGTTGCTGTACCGTCAGGTAAACAACACGCGTGCGGAGCAAAATGCAAAACTGGACGTGTAGGATAACAACTCCGCAGGATAACAACAACTTTTGAGTCCTATTAGTAGACCAGATAAACCAAAAAATTAAATTAGATCAAAAGTTGGTGTGTAACTATTAGCGAAAGGTTGAGATAATCTTCAAGTAGATGCAGAAGTGCGGATAAGTTAAACACAAAACCGTTGTTTCAAATCACCTTATGAACGAAAGTAAGAACAGGACATTAGTAAAGAACGTTCAAGGACTGAACATTAGGTGAGAACGTACGTAAGAACTGAACATCAGTATAGAACGTACGTAAGAACTGAACATTAGTTGAGAACGGAAACAATAACTGGACAGTAGTCGAGAACGAACACTAAGACTGCGCGTTAGTGCACGAACAAGCGAAAGAGTTCCACGTCACGTCTTACTTGAGCCACCAAGCGTGGGCTTTGACGGGGTCTTTGCTGGGGTAAGACAAAAAAGTTGGAGAAGCCCTGAGGTAGGTTGGGAAGGAGGAACTTCCAGCACGGTAGTAGGGTCCTAATATCCTGCAGTCAAAAGCAAGTCAAATGTAGAAAGGAGTGTAATTTTTAGAAAAGAGCCAAGCAAAAGCTCCAGAAGCAGATTTGTATGGAAGGAATGTCGTTTAGATGATCACGCGCCACGCCTACACCAAGATTAGCGTTGCTGGCAAGTGGATTTCATAAGTGAATGCTTGCGAGTCGCAGACGCTATATTCAAGGAACACTTCCAGCCGTTACTTGCTACTAGGACGATTAAATTATGCTGGGGGCAATGAATGATGAGTAAACTTGCATGGCGGTATGCGAATCGGATATTTTAATTTTCGTAAAGGTCGTGAGAAGAAATAGGATAAACTAAACTACATAGAGCGGAGCTTAGAATTACTAACTTGAACCTTCGCGCCTGTGTAGGTTATATTCAACAATATTCAAAAAACTCTTCGTGAATTATCAGAATGTAGGAACTGAAATATTGGATCCACCCATGGACGACCGAGTCTACTTCACCCATGGACGATCGAGTCTACTCCACCCATGGACGATCGAGTCTACTCCACCCATGGACGATCGAGTCTACTCCACCCATGGACGACCGAGTCTACTTCACCCATGGACGACCGAGTCTACTTCACCCATGGACGACCGAGTCTACTTCACCCATGGACGACCGAGTCTACTTCACCCATGGACGACCGAGTCTACTTCACCCATGAACGGTTGACAAAGTTCAAGAGACAAGACAAAGTTAACGCTGACACCGCTACACTATAATTGCTATCAATGACATTCCTATCTGCCGCAGACGCACTTAGTAGACCTATGTCTGTAGGCCTTAGGGTCGACGTAGGCTGAGGAGGCGTTGCTGTACCCCACCATGGGGGGAGGGGGCAGGTACCCGTGGGGGGGCTCGTACAAGCTGGGGGGATCCCTGCAATATTACGAGGTGGTTAACAACTTGTACAGTCAACTACTGTAAACTCTGTACTAATTACTGTCAAGTTATAATTAATAAAATCATAATTATCCAAGTTACAATTAACTAGCTACGATTTATCAAGTTGTTATTTAATAAGTTATTCTTTCAGTATACCGAGAATCAGAAAACAAAAATAAGTGTAGGAATGCTGAGAGTATTTACTCATTGAATTCAGACGAATATTTTCGAGTAGCTAACCGAAAACTTGAGAGGAAAAAGATGAATTTCGAATGCAATTATTTGAACAAGGCACGATACAAGTAAAAAAATATATAACTCAGTAGGTACTCACTGCAGTGAGTGACAGCGCGCATTTTCTCGTCGACGAAAACGTGAAGTCACGGACAGACAGACGGACGGACAGACGGACATGGCGAGCACAACAGTGCAATTTTTCCATAAATGAGAAAATGCGCTAAAAAATACCCTGGACTTACATTGCTTCGAAGGTGTAAGTGTCCCGAGTTTCGTCCATGAGCACCGAGGAAATGTCGAACATATTCTGCTCCAGGAGGTATCTGATGCGGTCCCTGAGGGAGAACAGTTACATTAGTACACGTGGTCCCTGAGGGAGAACAGTTACATTAGTACACGCGGTCCCTGAGGGAGAATATCAGGGTGATCACTCACCTAGGATAATCATCAGGGTGATCACTCACCTAGGATACCTAATCATCAGAGGTGATCACTCACCTAGGATACCTAATCATCACAGGTGATCACTCACCTAGGATACCTAATCATCAGGGGGTGATCACTCACCTAGGATAATCATCAGGGTGATCACTCACCTAGGATAATCATCAGGATCGGTGCAGAAGGTGAGGCGCGCATCCTTCACGCAGGTAGGAGTCTCTCCGTGCTCCGCGGGCATGAATTTCTCCGACTTTTTAACCTGACCGTAGCGCTGGGGCGGGGAACTCGCAGGGGCGTACGACATGCCTCGTGCGGGGGGGTATGATGTACCTGTTGGGGGGAAGGTGCAATTTAGCAGGGTACCATAGATATACAAACTATTCATAAGAAATCGATATACGAACTATTGTTACGGAATGGATATACGAACTATTTTTACGAAATAGATGTACGAAATTCATCTGAAGAATTTTGATTCCCTGCAAATTGGAATATAATGCATTCTCTGGTCATTATTCGTACGAGTTTTAATGCGAAAATTTTGTCATCTAATGCTAATTTACGAAATAGTGCAAATGTCTCGATCAATCTCTAATAAATGTACCAATGTTCCAGGAATTAAATCATACCGGCAGGTATGACGTACGTAATGCCTGCTGCTGAAGTGTAAGATATCCCTCTGTGCTATTGATGTGTACCTACACAATATACCACTGAATCTCGTACCTAGAAATATTTTCAAAAATGTATTTATATACAATAAATTACTATTATATTATCATATTATATTACATTGTGTAATATATTCAAGCAAAATTATTTCACACTTTGACGTGCCTGCTGCTGAGGAATATGACGTGACTCCTGCAGGAGGGTAGGACGCTAGCACCACGCATCGTAGGAAGCAAAGGACCAGGAATAGGATGTGATATGGCGTCATCCTGGTAGATGTTGTCGAACTAACGTTACTTCCAAGCGCCGATGAAGAATCTGTACACAGACAAAAATTACGAGAAAAAGAAAAACAATTTATTAAAATTGAAATACTAATATAGTTAATATTGAAATTTAAACACTAATATAATATACTACAATAGTACTATAAGTACTTATATTATTAGTCTGCTTATATCGCAAGTTCACAAGGAATTTAAGAGCAAAGAAAACTCCAAGAAAATTCACCATATCGATATTGAAAACGTTTCGGAGTCCAGCTCCATCATCAGTTCGACTAAACTAAAAATGAATAAAATCACTTTAAAAGTAAATCACTATACTTTATATATAGTACTACACAATACTATGTCACTATGCATGAAGGTATTCAAGATTAAAACAACACAGTGATCACATTCAGGCTTAACTCGCTGAATTTTATGAATAATTCTAATAAGTGAATTCTTGGTGCAGGTAAATTTGTGACAAATTCCAGGAACGTCTTTGATAAGACATCAATAATTTGATCAGAAGCCCTGCAGGAAGGCCCGGGCATTTCCTGGAAGGCATTCTTTGATCTTTCGGGTCTTCCCGAAAGCATTATGTTGTAGCAATCAAATATGAGCCTTAACACACACCAACACAAGGGTATTATCCGCACTCACGAGACAATAGTGAGGAAGATCCACACGATAAAGCATTCATAAATTATTATTCAATGATGAACATTATGATGAACTTCACACTATGTCCGATATGAAATAAACGCAGATGCAGATAAGAACATATACAAGACAAAATTAATAGTTTATAAGGTCATCGTTGTAAGAACGCAATTGCCGAGTTGTTGGGGCAACGGGATCGATTATCGATGATGTTACGACCCCGGTTCACTGGAGGACTCTGTACGCTGAAGCTGCACTAAATTATTTACGCATTAACCCAAGCTGCAGTAATCGATGATGAATCAATTCACACTCAACTGAATTAATCATATAATTTTCTTCTAATCTTCTACCACTAGCTACTTTATAGCAAACTACCAGAAATTTCGAACGGAGACCGGAGAAGCAACTAATTTTTACCATCGCCATACGACACCGTAGTCATAAGATACGTCGGATGCTGTTGGATTATGTACCATTAACCAGTTTTGAAATACAGCTGAAATTATTTATTTCAACTGTTTAATAATTTCAAATGTCAGCGTTTTGACAAACGTATTGTATGGTCGCCGTTGCTTGAAACTATTCATTAAGCTACAAGCAACTCACTCAAACGACAATGTATATAAAAAAAATATTCCAGTACTAGGAAATCGATGTGCGAGGACCTAAATGGCAGTTGCCGGGTGAAAAAACAAAACCCTGAGGGATCTTAGTAGGTTATTCAATGAACTGTGTTCAGATATAAAGCCTTCAATAAATTATATGAGAAACGAAATAGTGGCAGAAAACAACGGCAGAGGTGGCACTAAGTGGAAGTAATGGAAGGAAGCTACAGCAGAGGTGGCACTAGGTGGAAGTAATGGAAGGAAGCTACGGCAGAGGTGGCACTAGGTGGAAGTAATGGAAGGAAGCTACGGCAGAGGTGGCACTAGGTGGAAGTAATGGAAGGAAGCTACAGCAGAGGGGGCACTAAGTGGAAGTAATGGAAGGAAGCTACAGCAGAGGGGGCACTATTGTTAATGTTCTCAGTAGAGCATCTGACCACAAAGTTAACATCAAGCTGTCAAAGAAAGGCAGAAGAACACTGCAAGCGCTAAAATACTCTTGAAATAAATCACATTTTACATCACGTTCTCAATTCATATCCTCAAATTAGGATTTCAATTAAAAAGAGCGGGACATCTCTCCTATATACACTCGTAAAACTAAGGCACAATAGAATTTAAAGCTTACACAACACAATTGAATTATCCTTCAGCCAATGAGAGTAACCATTGTTACCAGGTCATCGCATATACGATGTAGTATAAGTTATGGTCAATGTTTCCCCAAACACAAAGTTGCACCTGTGTTCACTGACAGTCATTTTAGTTACCAGGGGCCGTATTATCAAAACTTCGTAAGTACGCAAAATCGACAAACGAGTGGCGTTGCTATGACAACGTAATACAGGGTGCGGCGCGGGAACTTACTTATTTGAATTGCGCGCCACGTGGCGGCCATTAGTCCTAGGAAGGTGGCGCCATGCGCAATATGGTGCGCGGGCTATGAAGTTTTTCGTCCACTCAGTTCAGTTGCGACCATGCAGTGGTCGAGAGAGGAGCGCGCGTTCGCAGTCTCTGTGTACTTTTCTAGTGGCCGGTCTATCGTTGCAACCCAGCGTGCGTTTAGGAGGCAGTTTAATGTCGCGCCCACTGGTCGTGTTCCTGGTCGTACATCAATCGTTCAGTGGGTGAATACTTTTATGAATACAGGCAGTGTGTGGAAACAAAAACCAGGTCCTTCCAAAACCACTAGGACGCCAGAAAATGTCGAGAGAGTAAGGCAGGCGGTTTTGCAATCACCTAAGCGATCCGCACGAAAACATGCATCTGCGCTTAGAATTTCCGATCGCACAGTTAGGCGAATTCTGCACCAAGACTTAAAATTCCACCCTTACAAACTGGCAGTGGTGCAAAAACTAAATCCACGTGATTTTGTTTCACGACAAAGGGCATGTGAAGCCATCGTTGAAAACTTGCCTAACAACGCACTTGTGTTTTTTAGTGATGAAGCACATTTTCATCTGTCAGGGTGTGTGAATAAGCAAAACATGCGATATTGGAGTGGTGTGAACCCCCGAGAACTTCATGAGAAGCCCCTTCATGCAGAACGAGTGACTGTTTGGTGTGCCTTATCCAGGACTGGCATCATAGGCCCATGGTTTTTTGAAGAGAACGATAGGGCAGTTACAGTCACTTCTGAACGGTACATTCAGATGATTCAAGAGTTTTTCCTTCCAAAACTTGATGAACTTGGTGTAAGAAATGTGTGGTTTCAACAAGATGGGGCCACGGCTCACACAGCACGCGCTTCAATGGCTCTCTTGCGCGAACACTTTCCACAACGCGTGATCTCCTTAAGGGGCGATCTCCAGTGGCCAGCGCGCTCGCCGGACTTAGCCCCCTGCGATTATTTTTTGTGGGGATACTTGAAATCCTTAGTGTACACCAATCGTCCGAGGACCCTAGCTGAACTGAAGAACAACATTCGCGTTGCTATTGCTGACATTGGTCCAGACATGCTTGAGAAGGTGGAGCGAAACTTCCGATCTCGTCTGACAAAATGTATTGAACAGCATGGAGGTCACCTACAAGATGTAATATTCAAGAATTAAACTTGTAAGTAAACCCAACGAAACTTTAAATGTAGCTCTTTGTAAAAAAGAAAGAATTAAAACGCTATCTTTAATACTTTTTACTTTGTGATTTTTTTAAAAGAGTAAGTTCCCACGCCGCACCCTGTACTAGTGGTGGTATTATAAGAACATTTGTGCGGGAAAAATATGCGCGGGAAAAAATTTAGGCTTTTAGCTAAGACTTGCGTACGAGAGTTTTGATAATGCCAAAGTTAGGGTGTATTTACGTACCACAGAACTTTTTTGTCGTAAGTACAAAAAGTTACGAAGTTTTGATAATCCGGCCCCAGGCTATTTTGTCCACTGACGATAGTTCTAGTTTCCTGGATACGTCGATACGCAAAGCATTACAGACGAGTTAGAAAATCAGTGGACTAAGGGTTACTACTATTAATTAATACTACTATTAATTAATTACCTACTAATACTCGCAAACAGAGAACCGAAGTAACAACAACGCTCAGTTTAGTAATACCTATAGATTCCATCAATGCATAACATAACATAGTGACGTCGGCGCTGAATTGTATGCCGGATGTGGCCTGTCGCCGATTCTTTTCCTTTTCGTGCCTTGTTCACAGAAGATCTAAAATCGTGTCATTTGACCGGATCTTTTCATGACTGATGATAGTTTGAAATAGCTACTCGACTTCCACCGAGTTCGATATGGTGCTAGGTATTTCAAATCTAAACATATATTTTTCCATAGCTTTATCTAATCTGTTCTTGAACGCGTTCATACTTGGAGCGCCAACTGTGTCAATCGCGGGGAGGCTGTTCCACATGTCGGTGATTCGAAGCGAGAAGAAATGTTGTCGCATGGATGTGTTCCAACGCTGTTTTTTTAGTTTATAGCCGTGGCCCCTGGCGTTGGTTCTTGTTTCAAGTTCTAATAACCCTTCAGGGACCTTATATAAACCATGAGTATACTTGTATACTTCAATGAGGTCCCAACGCAGCCGTCGATAACTGAGGCTTGGAAGCTTCATAATCTTCAATCTTTCTTCATAGGACTTGCCCTTCAAGCCTGGAATTATCCTTGTTGCACGTCTTTGAACATTCTCTCTTAAATTTCTGTCATTTTCAAATATCGGTGATCACACGACGTTTCCAAACTCTAGATTCGGGCGCACGACAGCAGCAAACAACTGCTTCATCGCTTCTGCATCTAGGAACTCGGTATGAGCGTCTGATTAGTCCAAGAAGTGTGTTGGATGTGTTAGCTTGCGTTTCAACATGCTTAGAAAATTTCAGCTCCTTGTCGACATAAACTCAGAGATCTTTTTCCACACCAGACTTTTCAGTCAATAGGTACTCTCTCGTTGCAATCATGTCTTCTCATACTGTAATCTTGCTGTTCATTGTTCTTCCCGAGGTGAAGTACTTTACACTTGTCAGCATTGAACCGCAGCTGCCACGTATCAGCCCAGTTAACTAAGCTGTCAAGATCATCTTGCAATTGCGCTTTATTTGACGCATTCTTCACTGTATTATAAACTTTTGTGTCGTCGGCATACATGGAGCACACGCTGGATACTACTTCTGGCAGATCATTTATAAAAGCAACGAACAAAATAGGCCCCAGGACGCTTCCTTGTGGCACGCCACTGCGCACTGATGCCCAGTCTGACACGGTNTGTCTTCATCAGCGCGGCAAACGATGATGTCTTCATCAGCGCGGCAAACGATGATGTCTTCATCAGCGCGGC